GAATTTGAAGCAAGGATCAAGGTTAAAACAGATGCAAACCCAAAGTTTTATAAGCCCCGGCCAGTCCCCTATGCATTGAGAGGGGCTGTTGAGGCCGAGCTTGAACGTCTGGAGAACGAAGGCATCATCTCAAAGGTAGATCACTGTGAGTGGGCTGCACCCATTGTAGTCGTACCCAAGCCAGATGGGTCCATTCGTATTTGTGGGGACTATAAGGTCACCATCAACCAGGACATGGATGTAGACCAATACCCGTTACCTACTCCTCAAGATCTACTTAGTGCACTAGCAGGCGGAGAACAGTTTACTAAGCTGGACTKAWMAMMWGCTTATCAACAGCTTAGACTGCAGTCAGCATCAAAGAAGTTTCTTACCATCAACACACATAAGGGATTATTCCAATACCACCGCTTACCATTCGGTGTTGCACGTGCACCAGCCATCTTCCAGTCCACTATGGATCAGATACTCCAAGGAATCCCTGGAGTGGTGTGTTACATTGATGATATCTTAATAACAGCACCTACACAAGAAGAAAGTTCTTGAAACGGTGTTACAACGATTGTCCAGGTATGGTGTGCAGCTAAAGGCTGAGAAGTGCTCCTTCATGCAAGACCAAGTCCAGTTCTTGGGTTATCTAATTGATAAAGAAGGGGTACATCCTGATCCCGAGAAAGTTCGAGGARTTATGGGAGCCCCTGTTCCTACCTGTGTCACAGAGCTGAGATCCTTCCTCGGCATGCTTCAATACTACGGAAAATTCCTCGCCAATCTATCCACCTTGCTTCAGCCATTAAACAACCTTCTGCGGGAAGGGGTGAGTTGGTCCTGGGGTTCTGATTGCCAAAAAGCATTTGAAAGTGCCAAACAGCAGCTACTCTCAGCCAAGGTCCTGACCCATTATGATGTTAATTTGCCCTTGGTCTTGGCCTGTGATGCTTCTTCGTATGGTATCGGTGCCGTGATCTCCCACATTATGGAAAATGGAGAAGAGCGACCAATTGCTTTTGCATCCCGGACATTGTCATCCAGCGAAAGGAACTATGGTCAAGTTGAAAAAGAGGCTCTRTCCATTATCTATGGTGTCAAGAAATTCCACCAGTATCTTTATGGAAGAAACTTTTTACTAGAAACTGACCACAAACCACTACTTGCCATACTGGGACCAAAGTCTGCTGTACCCACATTGGCCGCTGCTAGACTCCAACGATGGGCCCTGATCTTATCCTCTTATCAGTACCAGATCAAGTATCGATCCACCAACGCTCATGCCAATGCTGATGCACTTTCCAGACTGCCAGTTGACCATGTGGCAGCATGTCAGGGAAGTGAACTTTATCATTTTAACTATGCTATTAATGATCTTCCTGTTACTTGCAGGGACATTGCACATGCTACACAGAAGGATAAACTCCTAGCACCAGTTTTACAGTTTGTACGAAATGGCTGGCCTGACCAATCTAGTGTGCCTGAAAGTCTTTTACCATTCTTCCATCGTCGTAATGAGTTGTCAGCAGAACAAGATTGCTTACTATGGGGTATGAGAGTAGTCATCCCAGATGAATACAAATCGGTATTGCTTAGCTGTCTACATGAAGATCACCCAGGAATCTGTCGCATGAAAGCCCTTGCTCGGAGCTACCTGTGGTGGCCCAAACTGGATGCAGCTATTGAAGATACAGTATGCAACTGCCATGCATGTCAGGAAGTAAAGAAGGGGGCTGTGGCTGCCCCGCTCATTCCGTGGAAATGGCCTACCAGGGTATGGCAGAGGTTGCACCTCGATTTTGCAGAATTTGCAAGGGTAAACTACTTGCTCGTTGTGGATGCCCACTCCAAATGGCCTGAAGTGTTTGCAACACATTCTACTACTACATCTAAGACCATTGACTTGCTAATTGGTCTTTTTGCTTCGTATGGTCTCCCTGAGGAGATTGTGTCAGATAATGGTCCCCAATTTACTGCTGAGGAGTTCCAGGCCTTTATGAGGTCCCATGGAATCATCCATACGCGGATTCCACCTTACCATCCTGCCTCCAATGGAGGAGCTGAGAGGTATGTACAGACCCTGAAACAGGCCCTGAAGACCAGTCAACTCGAGAAGGGGGCCTCCTTACAGACACGACTCGCTAGTTTCCTGTTTTCATACCGTAATACTCCACACACGGTTACTGACCAGACACCTGCTGAATTGTTCTTGAAACGCCAACCACGCACTAAACTCTCCTTGCTACAACCCAACCTGGCACANATATATTTAGAACAGAGATTAGTATTTCACCATAAAAAAAACGAACTCTGAAAATATGAATCACCCTTGACAGCAATAGAAAGAGGCATCTTATAATTTATATACAAAAATGAGTGTAACAGCTAACCTTGCGATAGGGCAAAGTTGTCAATCAGCACTTGCCAGGCATTGTATGACTCAACTTGTACAGCAACAGAGGAGTTCTTAAATCCCTGTAAATCAATAATTTGCTTATCAAACAGTGTCTACACAAACTCTTTCTTTTATTCATTTGATTTTCCCTTTCTTTCTTTCCTTTTTTTATTATCACAAAGTGAAAACTATACCTGTTCAACAAGCTTTAAAATATCGTTGATTAAACTACTTCTGTGAAGAGACTACAAACAGACAATAACATTTACATTTGTCAAAATACATGCAAAGTAATGCTTGGATTTGAATTTAAAGTGAACATGGACCTACCTTTCCAAGTACAGGGACAATGCACTCCCAAACTTTCAATACAAAAAGCTCTTTCTTGTCAATACATAGCTTGGTGAGATCAATAATAAGTTGCTATGGACAAAAAACAAACAAACATAAATAAGATAGTCAAATAATAAAATTAGACTTATGTCTTCTGCAATAAAACAAGTAAAGAACTTGTACCATGTACATCATAGTAGACATAGGGCTAGTTAATATACAAATGTGTTATATAAATGAGTTGGTGTTCTATTTGATATTTCAAGTGTTCACACTTAAAATAACTGTTAGAAATTGAATATTATTGTGCTTAAAGTCAATCACAGCCTAATAATGAGGATTGGAAGGAATTTCAAAGTTTTATTTAACTTACTGTTTTGAGTGCTGGTAATAGCCACTGAACAACTTCTTCTCTTGCAGAAATAATAASATCCAAATTGGATGAAATCACTGATAAAGCATGTTCTCGTACCTGTTACAAGTGAATTAAGTTGATAAATACTTCATCTCRAATATGCAAYTTGCACAATGGAGTCACATACTAACAAGACCAGAATGCTTTTCTCACTTTTGTAATGTTATCAGTGCCAATTGTTTTACTATTCCAACTGAGGTATAAAATCTAAATAAGAATTAAAATACGCAAAGTACAATTTACTGTGCTCTTGATAGTAAAATGACCCAATCATGCACTGGCCTATCAGCTATTTGGACAACAACAAGCTGTCATTAATCATGTAYAAAAATAAGAAATTATAGCTAACCTTTCCAGCTTCACTCACAGTTAGAGGAAATGCAATACTACACCAATGTGAAGCAACCTCTCTCATGAYGTTTACGGGGAACTGCTCAAGAAATCTAAACAATACAGATGTGACTTCAATTGATATTGTTYGAATTGGTTATTCAGTAGATGAGAAATTTAAGCTGAAGCTTGTCCGAAAACCACGGATCAACTAAGCCAGGGTTTGTCAACATGTAAAACTAATYCTGATATTAAATCAATCAGAGAACAAAAATCATTAATATGACAATTTTAGCTGACCTTTCTATCACACAAAGAGCTTCRTTATCAACAGTAGGTGACTGAAGTTCTTTCTTGAGAGCACATCCAATGGATGTCAAAATCTTTACAAGCTATGAACAATAATAAGTACTGTATGGTTAGCAAAATACTCTCCAGTCCCTAGTACAATCATGCATTAATGAATACCTTAAATAACAGTGTGCTTGCAATTATAGAGTAAAAGACTGAGTAAAAGACATGGGTCAGGGTAGGATAGAGAAATTTCCATTGCTATTAAGCTCAGACAAAAGACAAGACGTCCAATTACAAGCAAATAGCAAATACAATTCTGTCTTTTGTCTCATCGCTTCTGTCAATGAGCTGTTGTCTCATCACTGAACACCAATAGTTTGATTGACAGCAGTCTAATGCTTATTTTAGGTAATAACTATTGTGCAGACTAGTCATGTGTCATTTACAAACGACRGTAAATAGATGGYGAGGACAATCATGAATACTATCAACACAAATGCATCAATAGCAGCAATTCTTACTTGGTCATGAAAAGGACTAACAGGGAGGTTCTGCTTTGCTATGCACCACATTGCTCTTGTGCAAACTCCTTTGTCTGACGTCTTTGATATGACATCAGCAAGAACTGTTAAAAAAAAAAGTTTGATGAGTGTCTTGACTACATTTGTCATATAATGAAACTTTCACTTTTTTCAATCAATTGTGCATGTGACAATRAAAAAAGTATACTTTGAATAACAAAATACTGACAGTTAGTTGAAAGAAAATGCTGCAATTAGCACTCCAATTAATCTCACCACAGAGAATCTCTTTAGCAGCTTGTTCAGTCAAAGTCCTAAGAGATAACATAAGTAACATATAAAATCATTTGTTTTTTCGGATTATTAAGATTTAAAGTATCAAATATTACCTTGCGATTTGTTCTTGGTAAAGACAGTGGCCAAGTGTTTGTAGAGCAGCTTGACTCAGTTCTATATGTTTTGATGTGATATCCCTCTGAAATGTTTACAATGACAGATAAAATTTATCTACATGTAGATGTAAAATGTGTACACGAAGTGAACATTTAAATTAAGTGCATTACAGGTTCACAGATTTAAGTACATACAACTAAAAWAAGAACACGCATTGGAGATGATAACTCAATAATCTTAGAGCGATGTTACTTAATTTCTATGAAATCAYAAGCATAAACAAAAAAATTTAGTTGCAAATCTTGTTGCTTCAATTTCACGGTTACATGTAGATCTAATTACAGGCTGAAAAAGCATCCTCGSTGTCAATCAACATGACTTGCAACGTAATCTAAAATACCTTGAATACAGCAGCAAGACTGTCCGCATGTTGACAAACTTCAGTTAAAAAGYTATCCTCTTCTTCGCGTAGCCGTCTAATTCATAGAATAGGCATTAGTTCAACTCGTTACGAATRCATGTAGGGGAATCATTTAAGAAAATACCAAATCATCAAACAGCACGGCAAAAAAGGTCGTATGAAAGTGTATTAAAGATACCAACAACTAATGGTATTTACTAGAATACCAGTAAAGTACAACGTATGGAATCAAGGATGAAGTAATGTAAAGAACAGCGATGAAGGTAAGAGCTAATTGAACTCACTCGGTGAGGGTTAGGTAAGAATCAACCCGGTCACTGTTCGGCGCTGTAGAGTCTTGTATAGTTTGCAGAAGCGGTAGAAACAGTCCATTACATTCTGGTGAAGTAACCATCTTGCTTTTCTGCAATTCCTGAACGACGACTCAGTGGCGATCACCTCATTTTCTAAACAAGATTGAACAAGTTCGTTTGCACCCCGCCATCTTGAATTGATTGATAAAAGTTCCTTAGAAAACCTACATTTTAGACGACTCAGGGTAACAAAATCAATTCAATGATTTACTTACACATAGATGGTGTCATTTAAGCTGTTTGTATGAGATTTTGTGCCTTGATCGCGCCAGATTTCAAAGAAAATTGAGCTGAAGTTCATAAATTGAGTTCAATTTCCCGCGAACGAAGCACAAATCCGCGCCAAACCAACCATACTGCATTGTGATTGGTTAAGAGATGTAGAGCCCAGTTTCCTTTGTGGTTGACAAAAACAGGAAGCCCGCAACGGATTAGGACAAATGAGGAGGGATAACAGGAATTCCAAGGTTGGATATTACTTCAGAAACATTCCTTTTAAAACATGTTTATTTTCTTCATTTTTATGTCTGAGTTGATCTTTATTTTCAAATATGTATATAAAGTTGTCATCTATAAAATTATCAAAACTTATTTAATCTCTATTTGATGATACTCTATAAATACTCTATGATCTAAAAGTATGATGGGAAATCATGTGTCTGTCCACTGGTCACTATATTGRCCAATGGGAGTCTAGTGTTTTGACCTGCAAACGAGGCTCTCACCGGTGAGAGCGCCCAAACTACGGCGCGAATGACGTTAACGATTTACATTTTTTTGGTACTTTCTGCGAAATATCTCCGTCTGTACTATATCTGAATGTGTTTTTTTTTTAAGAATGCTTTGATTTTATTTCAAAATATATATCAAAGTCAGTTTTGTTATTTAAGAAACATTTTGTTCTTTTTTCGTTGTTTTGCGTGTGTTTAGCTAGTATCCTATATTGTTTTTTCTATGGTAACTAGTCTCGAGATGTCCCTCCATTCAACCGGTCCTTTCTTGGAATGATACATGGMGCCCCTGCGGTCTTTAGTTCCTTGATCACGTGTTTACGCAGTCTTTACTAGGTCCTTTATTTCAAAGGTGGTTAGCCAGGTCGACCAATGGTGAGCTTAGGTAGTCTGTACTGGATATCGTGCTGTCGTACAAGAGGTTCTTAAGGTATGGTTCCTCGGTATGAACACACACTCCAGTCCCGCTCGATGGCTGCCAGTTTTGCCAGACATCCACTAAAGGATCATAAAAGATAACTAGTTAATAATAATATACCAAATATTTGATTTGATTTGCGCTCAAAATATCGGTAGCTTGAGTACTTTAACTGACAATACGCTGTCGGCTTCAATTGATACTGATAAAATGATTAGGCAAATAAGACCATATTTGGCGAGTACCCCAAATCCCTTTCGGTTGCTGTTTCGATCATGTAACATTTTTGAGCCGGACAACCCTGCTAACCGGCGTAACTCAGATTATAAACAATATATCAAGGTTTTTATTTTTGTTTTGTTTCTTTAAGTTCTTCCTTTTCTTTTAACTTGGAACATGTAATTTTAGTTGACTTGTTCAAGGGCTCCGATCCTAAGATTGCACTTTAACGGTTTAAGAGGCTAATGTACCGTGAGAAAATGAGTGAAGCATGCCATTCAACCTACGCTTTATCAAGCAATGCCAAGTTTTATGCATTATTTCCAATTATTGCCGATAACCCATGGCCTTAAACTGCCCACACAGCCACTCCTTACAACCTTACTAACTGTCATCCTAAATTGACCAGCACACTTACACASTGACTATAGAGAGATATAGATGGTCAGTGATCACTTTCTCGTATARTGCTGGAAACTACTGTCAACAAGCACTTAATGGAATCTGTGTTTTTAATTGAATTTAAGGCGAAATTTAACCTTCACGRTCCGATCTTGTTACTTTTGTCATCTTTTAAATTTTGTTTTTTTAATCGTATTATATTCCATAAGCACTGCTTGCGGCCATCTCAAGTTTGTTACCGCGTCCAGTCCGCCCACAGGTTCCGCCCTTAAAAACCTTTATTTACAATAATTAGCCAAAGAGAACGGCAAAAAATGAGCTTTTAGACCATTTTTTTATTTTGTTCTGTGAATGTCAGACAACTTTAATTATCCGCCATTTTGTTATAATTCAAAATGGCGGATATTACCGAGTCATAGATCTAAYTTTTCTCCAATCAATCTTACATTATACACCTCGAAGTGCTTACAGAGTGCTTTCATTGGCAAGCAATAYAGTCCATGCGTTTGTGATATACATGCTTTTCTAATGTGGTCTAAATTTCGTATGATAAAGAAACAGCTATACTGCTATACCGTAAGCTTCAATCAATAATCTGTTGTTATCGCTATCGATAAGCCTGAAGCTCTATCTAAGTTGCTACATTGATCAAAAAATTAATTGGACGTCAAATTCTGGGCCYGATCGAATAGCTGGCCCTTCAACCTTCAACTCGCTCAAGACTGGACTACTTGCGTAGTCTGCTCAGCCCCATCATCCTTTACGAAACGTCATTACGTCACGTCCCTATGGTAACAGGTACCTAATTTACGAAGGAATGAAAGCAGATGCGCAAATTTCAATAAAATTATTGATGTACTTAAAAGATTTTAGGGGATTAATATTCACAGTTGTATCTTGATCAGTTAAACCCTGCTTGCTATGTGCTCTATGCGGGTTTTGATCAGTTWAATCAATTAAGTATCTATAAAAATGAATCAAAGACGATTAGCCTATGAATCAGTGATAACGCAGGAGTGAAGACTTTGGTGTGTGTCATGCACAATGTTTGTCTTAAAAACTGCATTGAAATTGCTAATTTCATCTYATTATAAACCATTTGCATTCTCTTAGTCGCATATGAAATTCGACGTCTGAATGATCGGTTCTATTGCCTAGTGTGCGATTTTAACTTATGCTGTTTACCACGAAATCAATTTTCAATTGGCAGGGATTATAGTTCATAAAACTACCTAAGACCAAGGAGGCAGCGCAGGCACAGATAATCCATGAATGATTAGTGTGAAAAACTGCTATTTTTTCTAGTTGGAGGGAAATTAACAACATTGGATATATATGCTGGTATAAAGTACACCACTTTGATATATGACATGTCTTTAACTTGGTATATATACTTCGATCTGGTGCTGTATTATATTTCATGATATTTGGAGGGACAAGATAAGATTAATCTCTGTTTTCCGTATTTATATAATCAAGGTAATATAGATCAAAAGATAAGTGACCGTGTACGATTTTTTAGAGGTACAAAGTTTATCAGGGATGCACAAAGTCAAAGTTTATCATCTTTTATGTACAAATGAGTCAATATTGCACTGATAAATAATACTTATACGTGTACTTTTTTAACTAAAGCCACATATGATTGCTATATAGTAGTCTCATTCGTAATCGGGCTAGTGCAAAATCAAATTCCAAGTTTTCTTTACTCGGGCTTCCTCAGACCACTAGCGCGCGTTCCTTTGCACAAGTATGTTCAACTAAGCAACTCTATCTGTATTTCTACTTAGTAGCATTAACAGCTGACTTGTGTCTTTTGCCGCAGAGGGTGTCCCTACAATGTAGGTCGTTTTCCGGCTTCTGAATCTTATACTCCAAGTCTAGTGGGACGTGACTAACGCTGATTTTTTTAAGTACCACTTAACATTTTGCTTAATAGTAATATAGTGTGACACTGAGATAATAAGTGATAATCACAGAAAGGAAACTAGAAATGATGTCAAATTGAAAACTATTTCATGTTTAAGCGTTATATTACAGGCATTTCGTAATAAATTTGTGAAATATTTGAGATAATTTTKATTCAAATTCGATAAATAGCATTCGATTCGAGTTTAAAGGTCCTGAAACTTTTTTCTCGGGCAATTTTCTGTGAAAAGCCGTGAAACAAGTTTGTATATTACTATTGTAAAATCAAATTAGGACAATGTAAAACTAGAATGCAATAAATACATTAGAGTATTTCACGGTTTTATGAAACCATGCCAAAACTCATCTTAAGAGCATCAATTGGTTTTGCAGCTTTCACTCAAAACACTAACAACTGAAACTCCTTCGTTGTCAACAAGTTTAGCCTACTAGACGACCGGGTCTTGATCCGTTCTGTAAAGTTCACTAATAACCCTGTTTATATGAATAAATCCGTGATTATTCTATAATGTACTCACTGCCCTTTGCTAGTATAGTAAATGGTGAAGAACCGCGAGAATAACTGCAAACTATGGTGGGAAAAGTGTGTGAGCTACAGAACCCCCTTCCCCTCCCCTCCCCTCCCTGATCCTCGCCGGCCCTGATCTCTTGCACAAAAGATTGCTAAGTTTTGAAGTGAAGAATGTGGTCTATCGCATTGTGCGGGGGAGGGAAAAATTCACCGAAATGCACAAATCCTTAAAYTTGAAAATCGTTCCTTTATGAAGCCAACGTTTCTGGTTTCTATGATTTTTCAGTTCAAGTGCTTACTAGCTAAGATTAATCGAGCAGAATCGTTTTATCCAATTACAATGTGTAAAATTCAATAGGCAGATCATAATTCTAGTACGGGATGTCAAATTGTACATCATCAATTCAACATCACGTTTTCCTTTTCCGTCTTATTTCTTAGTGGCATTTTGAAAATTTTGAGTTTTCAWTCACTAGAGACAATAATTTCTACCAGGGAAAACGCTTGTGCTCCAAAAGGTATCTACCAATGCAGCAAAAAGGACTAAAAGAAAGCGGATTTTTAGCATATATGTATATCTAGTGAAAACCAGGATTTTACCACTAAAAACCGTGCGCGTCCATCTTGCATGATCATTTTTATGCACGTCGTCCATGAAGTTTTGAGTCCGAATAGATACGAATGATTTCTATGGTATCAAATCAGTATATCAGCTAAAACCATACGAAAATATATAAAAATACGACATTATCGAGAAAGCCGTTTGTCTTCACACCGCTGTAATTTGAGAAWTCTAACGGATATTTGATTGATTTTGTGGACGAACAAAAATAGMACTGTGCASTTTTTGTGGTTTTCCCAGCTGCYAAATATAAGTATATGACATTAATTGCTCGCTTATCGATTATACATATGTACATGAATACAGCAATTTTAARTTAAGTTGGCAAAGTACGTTGTSACTGYACAWGTTAGGCGACAAAACATGAGCCAGAAGTCATCCAGGGCACAAGTATTGTCATTGATTCACTTCAGATCTGAAGTGAATTTTTGACTGTGAAGAAATTCTTCTAAAACTTTTKCTGGCTTKTATTATGACAAATGATTAACGTCMTATTCTTTCGGMAGCGGAAACCCATTTCAAAAAGTTGTATATTCAGCGTAATACTAGTGAGCCCTGATTGGYCGAGAGYAAGTGWCAGATRAATAATGYGTGACTSAAGAGCCAAAGACTTGAATTTCAATGATCGAAAAAAGTTCAGAGAATATCAGAGATGTTTTTATCAATTATCGAGAAAACTAATGTGGTTATCATGGCATTCAAATTGAAAATATGAGATTTTTTATTACCTCGTCATTATAGACTGGAAAAAGGAATCTAGCATTGAAATTGTGTGGCATTTTGGGAAGAATGACGACACTTATGAAAACGAAAAAGATCAACACTTTTCCTTCTCCCCAAGGCCTCGGGGTATAAGATTTATGAGTTTGACTGAATCCCACGGCATAAATAAATACTGTATCAAAATAAATGTGATCAGAATAAGAATTCGCTCAAATGCTTTCAAAAGAAAAGCGCCGATGGTTTGATAACCAATCGCACAGCCACCAACAGCTAGACCGTTTAACGTTGGTCCACGACAACATAGCAAGGCAATCTTATGAATGTCACTCATCTTGGGTTAAGATCCCTATGAAATCACATACGATAAAAAACACATCAGGATCTGTTTGCCTATTAATCACCCTGAGAAACGAATAACTACCGTCAAAGAAGCCGCTTAACAAAAATCCACAACTCATAAACAAGTGCGCAAACTTTAACTAAAATTGGTCGCGCGCGGACTGAGTTTTTAAGCCACAAACTTTCCAATCTTTTTACAATCGCTAAAAGTTAAATCGCTCTTCAGGTAATCTTTCTTAGCATATTTTGCTAACAAAAATKAATTGTTTTCTTGATAAAACTTTTGGTCGAACACTTGAGGCAAAATACGATAATGTTCTTGAATTACCTAAGCGTTTAGCATGCAAGATCCTTATCGCGGTGTACGCGGAGCATTTGCGCACCTTTCAGCGTTGATTGGTGAGCTAATTTGTCAGCTAAAAATCGTCAGTTGTTTAGTGGGTCTAGCGGGAAATCTTGCAGCGAAATACCTTAAGTCACGTCTAATGGAAACTACAGATGCGCGTCTTAAGGCAATCAGCGCCTGCAGTGAGTTCCAAATGCGAGACATGTGCAAATATCAAGCATGGAATTTACGTYAGTAGACTATGCACGTTTACGTTAATTTGCTTGCGGAAAATARATATAAGGGTGGGTGTCACGCGCGACTTGTGAAATCAAGACATCAAAATATTCAGATTTGCGTKCATACATCCATATACGTATTGACCGTTACGTTACGCACGCAAACTCCTTTGAGTTGACATATTAATAAAGGTATTAGCCGTTACGTTACGCACGCAAAATCCTGTGCGTTCATACAGTACATACAGGTATTAACCGTTACGTTGCGCACGCAAACTCCTTTGCGTTCATATACATAAAAATACGTATTAGCCGTTRYGTTACACGCGCAAAATCCTAACCTTAGSGTTTATACAGATTCAGAGACTGATTGTACGTTACGCACGCTAGCTCGTTGAATTGCGTTCGTGACAGTCAATGAATGCGCAAAATTTTGAAAGCAACGCGTAGTTTAAATAGACATGTTAAGCTCTTTGTTTGCAATGGTAATTCCGGTACAATCATATACCATGCCGAGATAAATGACCCDACATTAAAATATTGTTCATACTTCGGGAATAATTTACGGCTTTAAATGTACCGCAATACTCGGCCCATCAATTGTCACTTGTGCAACATTAGAAATTATCTAAAGCTACCACAAATGGTTTAGTTGAATTTTCACTTCAAGTATCTGAYTGATTGTTTTGTAAATACTACCAAGGTATAGTTTGTGTACTTAGGATTGCTTGATGTCAGTATAACTCTTCTATATGGAAATGACTCTTTTGGAAAATTTAGTCCAAAAGTTATTTAAACTACAGGAATTCATTCGGTTTAAAGATGACGTTGTGATAATCTTATAATGCGACAAATAAAAGCGTTTGATAWTAATTTTAAATGGTAATAAGCTTAGGAAAAGGTTGATATTTAGTGGAAGAACTGGATGCACAGGTCTGATATTAGATATGTCTTCAATTTGTGTACAAGGTCGAACGGGGTTAACGAAATATGGACATAATCTCTTATAAAGTCAAAATAAAAATACTTTGTGGGAAAATGAAATTTTATCGCTAATTGATTCACTTTTTATAAAGTAATTCTTAAAAGTTGTATATAAAGGAAGGAGCTTTGTTTTGGATGTGTTTATCATAAGCGAACTTCCTTATCATCAKTTAGGAAACCATTCTAATACTCATTATCCTACAATTCTTTCCGAAATATGTCTGCCTGGTTCAATGGCTCAGGTCTGGTTTGCATCGTCACKTCAAGACTTAGAAATATCTGTAGAAAGGTTACGGTAATTGTATTGGCTGCCAAGTAGGATGTTATCGAAGGCGTGACACAAACATGCAGTCTTAAATCATAACCAACTCGATGAGCTATCCAACTCAGCTCAAAACCCTCGAGACATTCAATTTCAGACGAACAAGAAGCATGGTATAAATTGACTCCAAATGATCTTTGTTCTTCCAATGCGACCCTCGCCAACTGAATGCTCAATGTCAAAATACCAAAGTTAAGAATCATCAGCYTTTCCTTTCGCGTTGGCCAAAATTTGCAGCCAATTTTGCGCAATTTTATTTTTKCTTAGTTTTTCGTGCGAGGTTTGTGATCAAGAAAAAGTGCGATGTTTGTTTCGTTCATATTAAGACAGTTTGTTGACAATTAATCTCACCATGAATACGCTGACACCTCATCTACACTTACTACAACTATCTCTGCATGATGCCAAAGTATTAATGGCCCCTCTATTTGACTTTTAAAAACTTACCATCCATGTGCAGAAAATCTTCTAGTAAATCGTCGTCGTCGTTTGAAAATTGACTGTTATCAAGTAGTTTGTAAAGCTCGTGTTCGTCATAGAGATTCTCGTGTATTAAGCCATCGGACGAGCGTGCAATGTCATCTTGGTGTAGTATCTCCGTTAGGTGATCTATCCATTGAGCAGCCACACGTAGTATGTCAATCTTTGATATATCCATGTGGGACACAGGCAACGTGTTCTTTAGGTCTACAAACGCTCTGTTTACACCTTGTATTCGCTTGCGTTCTCGTTCATTTGCAGCTCGACGTTGTCTGCTTACTCCTGTAAGCATTCTCTTCCGTCGTCTTTTTTTCTTCTTCTGTGCGGGTCTCTCCTCAGGCTCTTCTTCGGGCTCCGTGAATGTTGACGTCGGTGATAGTTCGCCTGCTTGGTCTGAAGACGAAGAAGTGACACTGCTCTCCGTTTCGATGTCTTCGCCAGAATAATCCGACTTTTCCAGGTCTTTCATATTTTACGTGGATAAAACGCGTACAAATTTTCGTTGTTACTATACAAGTATGACGATCAGTGTGTGACCATTGAGCTCTCCACACGCCACTCTGACTCGGCGTCTATGAGTGGCGCTAGCGGTGAAATCGTATTCCTTTAAGCGTGAGTGTCAATCAACGAGCTATAAAGTAATGTAAGATGACAGCACGGAGTTTATACGGGCCAACCTGCAAGTCAGTTTTTAAAGTATCAGTTAAAAGCAGTATCCCTTGGCCTCAGGCAAGGAGTTTATTTTGACTGGCTGTGATTGGCAGTGCAAACAATAACGTCTTGTCTGGTCTCGGACCAAGGCTTTCTTAATCCCTTACAGCAATTTTAAAAGGCTTATCACTCAAGATAGACATTCTCAGCAGCTTCTAATTGTGATAATACTTAGTTTGAAAGATCGTATGATTGCCAAAGTAAGCCCAGAAAACAATGATTATTCATTTCATTACTGAACCGCGGTTTTTGAAAGCATTGTAGTCATCATTATGATGGCTTTTAATCGATTAAATGTGCGATACCATGTTGATGTAGTATAGTCCACCCACGTTATAACTAGAATTMGTCTTGCGTCTTCACGCGATCTCCGTAGGTTAAAACTCAACTAGGATAAATATCCAGTATAGCAAGAGTCTCAAACATTTTTATAGCTTGGTTTGTATTATTTTTGAACAAAGTTTTGAAAGTTTACTTACAAAAACATTTTAAAAATCCGACATATAAGAATACTTTCCAAGGAAAGTTTCAAAATAGTGATGATAACTTACTGCCCAAGGAAGTCAAACCTAGACAACATTAAACTCCTAGAAATCCCTCAGAACAAACCGCCAACACGTTACGTTGCGAAAAAGTCTTGACGTTTGCGGGATGTTCAGCTCGTGTAATGACGTGCAAAACAAGCGAGATTATATTGCTGTCACAATTTCAAATTTTTTTTCGTTACCGTTATAAATTGCATATAACAAATTATTACGAAATTTCGTTGACCTTTAAAAAGCAACTGCTAAGAGAATCAACCAAACTATACTTCCTAACCACAAAGGGTCAACGCCCATGTCTATAAACTTAATTTAAACCAGGACGGAGTCAATTTTTTTAGTGTTACAAGGTGAAATATTAAGATTCGTTGTTCTAAAGTGATTTGTCAAGATTATTGACCAGTTCAACTAGAGAGCATTATCAGTAATTAAATAATTTGTGCTGCCTAAACTTAATATGGTCATTTCTTAACAATCTAGATAAYAGCCATGCAGATCGGGGGTACTTCATGACTGAGGTCTTGCACACATTAAAYTGCCTATTTTTCATTTTACAAAAACAAACTATACAGGCTTTAGAACCTAATTTTATTGTCGATTAACATCAACGAATGAAAAGGTTTCGTTTGCGCATTGCTTCAGGGTTGTTTTTCAAAACTCGAATAATGAAAGCCTGATACTCAAAACATCGTTATCTTGATAGTTCTGACCTCAAGCAAACCAATCTTCTGACAAGCTCTAATGATTTGATTTTAATAGCTGAAATATAAGTCCTTTAGATAACATGAAGTATAGATAAAATGGTATGTTTTGATAGGAGCCCACTACCTCAACGAGTTCCATGAACTATCGTTATAGATAAGGAAAAAAATGTTTTAAAACAGAGAAAGTTTAGAAGCAATGGTCAGCCTGTTTATCTTATGATCCTGTTGAGTGATAGATTTATTGGGGTCTTATCAGTTTGTTATCTTTGCACAGAACTGGATCAAGAGTTTCACGATACTACAGATACCACATCTTTAACGAGTTAGTTTGCCATTTTAACCAATTTCCATTGAATTAAAACCCTCAATGACACCTCAAAACACCTCAAAACCACCCACCTTACCATCTAAAACGCCAATTACACAAACATTTGAGATAAATGTTCGCTAATACAAAGAAATTGGACAGTTCAAAGAAGGAAATCTCGGCTCATCGCGGTGGGTCCAGCAAATCTACCTGGATGGCGAGATTTAACACTGGCGTGTAGACTTAACTCACTCAGCTCACTAAACAGTCGCGTACGTTCGACATCATGCCTCCATTAGAGCTGACAAAAGAGAAGTATTAAAGTAATGTTGTCTAATACTAACAGGAAAACATTTTCAGCACGAATCCTCACACATTGTGCTTTTAGATCAAAAACAAACCCTTGTGGAGTCACAAGGATGGTTGATTTACAATCTGACCAATCCTTTAAATTCCAATTGAGCAGTAGAAACACCATTGTTTCATATGTATGATTTTTTGATGGAGCTTTTTTTCCCAGACGGTACAATTTCAATAGTATCATTTGTTTAGTCTTCACAGGGTAATTAATGTTGTATCTTACAAAGTGTCGACCTTTGAAGACCTTCATAGGTAAAATAACATGAAAGTTAAAGCGTAGCGGTTGTTAAACATRTAACACAAGACATACTACACTGTAATTTGAAGTGTCCTCGGCTCATAACTAAAGATTTTGAAATTATTTATAATCGCGTGTTATTGTCCAGTTCAGCCAACGACGAACTTCACATGTACAAAGCACTCCGCTCTCTCATGAATTTACACTGACTTCTGCGCATATAAGATACGATGTCTGAGACGTTTTAAAATTTTATAAACCTAACACTAGTCCTGTGTACTGAATGGCTACTCCTTTTGCCTGTGAAACAACATGGCGAATGAAACACCGTTTGCAGTTTTTTTCAGTAAAATGTATATCATCGAAGTCTATGCCAAAAGYATCACTCTGAAAGATATCTACCATAGAAAAGGAATACGCCCTGGAGCGGTATGGGCTTGCTGGAATAATAATACGACCTCACTAACACTGGCAAATATTTGAACTGGAAATAGAGACGCTACGCCCACACGATCAGGCGCTGACACACAATCAGTAGCCATAGCAACTTCTATTAATTACTTTTCCTAAAAAATTAATTACTTTTCCTAAAATACGATATCTTTGATATATCTTCCTTCGCTCTTTGATATATTATATGTTTCTGTAATAAGTGTGCCATGGTTTTTGCAGTAGACTGACTCCTMCGTAAAGCAGGGAGAATTATGTTGACGCACTCTGACTTCAACAATTATTTAACCGTAAACACACCGCTTTTTAAAGAAATGATCAATGACTGYCTACATTGGATTTTTTTACAGAGAAAAATAAAGCACTCCGAGATTTAGACGTTTGGAGAGATCTAAAAGACCGCTACACTTGTGATTCATTTTTTTATGCCCCTTTCTTTGTGATGTTCTAACATCTCCCATCGCCACGCTCTTTATTTTGATTGGTAAATCAAGGCAGTTCATCTTTAATTACTCAGAATTATTATTTTTATGGTTTTGAAGTCTGCTGAGAGCAGTTTTATAACTTACCACCTCAAATATCCGGCTTCCCAGTCAAACAAAAAAACTTTCGAGCTGAAGTGTTTGTTTAAGCGTCCTTACAAGGACTGCAAGTTTGACTTACACACGAACCCGTGGCATAATAGACCATTTACAATGAAGGACAGGAAGTCATATTATCTAATGTTTGGCAAACTTTCAACTTCATTGTCTAAGGACATCAAATCCTTAAACCTTCCTTGATTAACCTGGCTAGAAMAGCTAGGACGACGTCACTCTAGATCACGGAGTCAGTTAAATTGAACTTCTATAGTTCCCATGTTCAATAAATGTGTTGGTGCTTGCCCGAGTTTTTAGAATTGCCAGACGTAATCTTATATTTAGCTTGTTGAAGTGCTTGGGGTCGAAAACGCAACCTCRTATGCCTCTCACCTTGTTGATTGAACTACTCTTGAAATCGAAAACCACATCTCAAATGGACACGGCGCACGACATTTTGATTGTAGGATAGCTATAGTTGAAAGGGTTTTACTCGCAAACGATGACCGACAAAAAGACATTTTTTTAGGCTTACTGATTGAGGTTTTAGAGCTGCTTCAATAATTGACAATTCACACTGATGAGAGTCAGCACTGTACGGCGCTGAAAAGTCGAAAATGGTTGGTTTTAATTACTATAGGATTATTCCAACAATAAAGAGAATGTCCAATAAATCTTGATAACAGAAAGATTAAAATACAGTAAATGAGAAAGGACTATTTTACAMATAAACAAACCCAAATAGGTAAAAGTTTCTTAGCCCAATTGCGTCGTACAAACTCAAAAACATAAATACTAATGAATTCCGTTTACGGCGTACAGAATCATCTAGACGGGCGCGCGTTGATTAAAAATCATCTGCGCTCATGACGTCAGAGATTTATTTTTCTTAACGATAAGAGCTTGATTCTATTAATACACATCCTGATTTATTTGTTTGCTTTAATCATCTTCAATCTGTTTTATTACTTGAAATTGGAACTGGAAATCTTGGAATGTTTTGGTTAGGACGCACTTATATGTACTTTGTTTATTTTTGAATAAGTTTGTCTTTATTAGTTATTTAGAGATAAAAACTACTTTGTTTGGTCGTTTAAAAGAAGTTACATTGTTTAAATACGTTTTTCAATGAAATATTTGTATACACAAAGCACCGTTTTACAACGATCATCCAGGTCAATTATTTCCTCTTCCAATTCGCACTTCCTGACAGCTTTGGTGAATTCTGTATCCTATATCAGTCATTTTAAGACAAAAACAAGGTATATTTGTTTTTATTTGATTCTAAATCCGATAAATTTGTTTATCATTCTTTCTCGTTGTACAATTTGAATTTTTCGGTGTTAATTTGCTTAGTGTGCGCGTCTTCTAATGTGACGGGCAACTGAGAGTAGCGCCACCTCTGAATTACTGAGAAGTTCCATTTTTCCATTCATGTAAGACAGTTTGGGTAATTTAATGAGATTTAATGTGCCGGCTCTTATAGCGCTTTAGGTWGTTCTTTCCGAAACGCTAGCTAAATATAACATATAGGTAGAAAATAGAAATATTCATCAATCTCATAATGTGTAACGCTTACGAAACGTCAAGTCACAAAGGAGAAAAGCTCAAAGACTAAACTTCTAAGTACCATAACATCGCGATTTGCATCCATTGTCACAACAACTATGATGTATCAACAATTGTTGTAATTTCAAAATAAAACAAAATGATGTTACCTTTAGAGSTTTAGATGATGTCTAAATCCTCGTGGTCTGAGGTCTKAGTTTGAATTGCGAGTTTTGGAG